TACACACCCGAGATTGCAGTGACATGGACTCTTTCAAATCACTTATCAAAACCCACCTTTTTAGACTAGCTTTTAACATCAAATAATGTTATATTACATTATTTATAATGTCACTTGCTCTCATGTATTTCTGCACCACATGTTTTTATCTACTGTTTGCATATTTTATATTATGCTATTTATGTTTTTAATCGGTTTCAAATGTACATAACTTCTGCTCTTACCTGTAAAGTGTCTTTGAGTGTCCTGAAAAGCGCTATAGAAATAAAAATGTATTGTTATTATTATTGTAGTGTCATACAATATCGTGTTTTAAAGCAATGCATGGGTGGGTGCAATATGAATGAATGAAATTATGTGTTTAGGATAAAAAAAAGTGTGATGGTGGAAAAGTTTATTTTAGCAAGTGGGAAGTTGCATATTAAAACACTGATCAGACGGCCTTGCTCCAAAAGTCTTGGTTTGGCATAAATTACTCCAGTATTAGATTTAATAATTAAAGGAATAATAAAGTTCAAAAAATGTGAACTGCAGCTCTGATTGCAGCCATGTGTATTAGACAACACAGAGAAAGCAAATGGAGGAGAGAAAGTCAAAACAAGCTCTTGGAGTTGTTGAAACAAAAGGTGTGTCTAGATCCTCAAAGCAAATGCACTATAGAGTGGAAAAAAGTATTTTAAGTGCCCCTGCTGTGTGTGTTAATGTGTGTGTGAGTGTGTTTTCGGTATCTTTTAATGATAGACTTCTCACATTTACAGAGCGGGGTGATGCTGGATGTTCCAGTGAAAGAGTCCAGTAAACTGGATGTGGAAAGAGTGACGTGAGCGTCACTTCAAGCTGCATCTGCTCTCGCTAATACACACCCTCTCTTCATTCAAGTGACTGGGCACCATCTTCCGGTCCAGTATCCAGTTCTTATAATACATCCATGCGTCACAGACATAAGAATTGCTCTTAACAAAGAGTACTAACTGACCTTGAACGTCAACATTTACAGATGTCTCTTTTCTAAAGGTATTATTTTGGGGGAAATGCTTTTTTGGGCTGGAAAGAGATTTTTTCTTTGCACTACCACTAGGGACTCCTGGGCTAAATTGGCAGCAAGGTTGAGTGGCAGCACCATTATCTAGCTCTCTCAATACATCCATCACCAAGACACCAGACTATTAATCTGCCGTTAACTCATTGCCTTGTAACTCCCAGCCAAGGTATAACTCCCTGAACAATGGCAATTTGTTATTTTCACACTTTGTTTGTACTACAGATTAAACTAACATGATTTACAATGTTAATCAGTGAGCTTTAGACGTAACCTTTGGACAGAGCCAGGTAAGTTGTTTCACTATGTTTTACAGGGCCATGCAGAGACCTTTGGAAGGGCAAGTGCTCAAAGTACATGGAACAAGGATTTAAACAGGGCCGTTCTCAAAATGTCAATACAGAAATATATATAATATATATATATATAATACAGAAAGAGTGAGACCAATCTATAGACAGGTGTGTGTGTGTACAGGCAATATTGTGATAATGATTTTATATATTGCTTTGTGAATCTGAGATATATTTGGATTTTGACTGACTATATGTCTAATCATAAATCTAAAAAGATGTGTGTATGTTCATTCTGTTGGCACATAATAACCATGACAGGGCAGCATTTACCTTTCACATTAACATACCTTTGTCTGAAAACTATATAGAGCCATTTCTTCTTCATTTCATCTTATTTAGTTCATATAATAGGTTTGCTATTAAATCTATTCAAATACTGTTCTGATTTAAATGATCGTTTTAAAAAGGGCTGGTAAGTAGGCTATAATTTGGAAGAATAAGTAACAAACCTGTTTTACCAATGTTGTTATAATTATTTTAAAGCACCCTACGTTTTACTTAATTAGTTCAAGTGAAAGGTTTTTAGTCAAATTACATAAAAAATACAATACCTTGCGACGCCCGTGGAACTTTTCTCCATCAAACAGCAAGAAGGAAGTGAACAGAGCACCTTTGTTTATCTGTGTATAGAAGCAACGTTAGCTGTCGGCACAGTGTTAGTCTGCTGCTAACGTTTCTTCTACAGGTGACACGCAGCAATATACAACTACTGTGCTGCTCTCTTTGTGTCTTTCTTGTAAAATACATCCAACAACCCACAACCAGCACATTGAGGCAAACCCCTCTTACAGGCGGAATCACAGGTGTCCTGCAGGCAGAGCTGTTGAGTCACTAACGGTGTCTGAACGGGACGGCTCATCAGGTGAAAGGTCATAATGTGGGTCATTTTATTTACTGCGAAATGATTAATTCATTTAACTAAAATTTTGATTCGGCAGGCCTTCACAAAAGGACCTTTACAAATTTAAAAAATAATTAATTAATTAAATTTGTCATTGACTAATTTAATTCATTTTTTGCAATCTTTTAGAGCTTGATGTGAATGGTGTGAATAATGCAATTAAATGAGCAATATTCAACTTTTCCCACATGAAGTATACAATTATTATTATTATTCAAATGACTGCCATAGGTTATATTACGGTGATCAGCCTTTTCTTTGATTTTTAAGTAATCTTTCCTTGCCCACAGAAAGAAACAACCCCTTTGATCAATGAAATACCTCATCAACATGCAGCAATCTGTAAAGGAATTAATATATCTGAGGGTTTCCTTTATTGCATTCAGATTTAATTTCACTCAGAGTCCCTGTGATCAAGAGGATTGTAGTGATATGTGTTAGTTCTTTGGTTGAAAAGGAAAATGAAGTCAAGAGTTGTTGAGCATTAGATGATAATATTTTGAGCCTGCTGTTGATTATGGACGCCTTTATTCAGGCCAGGAAGACCTGATGTGAAATTAGATGTATACTAAATGTATCTGGCAGCTATTCTCAAAATCAACTGTACATTTTTGTGAGATTATTGATGGTCGATTTGTGATTGAGGTCTTGTATGCATTGCATGTACTGTATGTTCTATAATTAGACATTTTTGAAAATCAAATTGATTTGTTTTATTCACTATGTGTGTAGTGAGGATCTTGTGAAGCAGATGAATAGAAAGAATTAATTTGCATCCAACCTACTTCCATTTGATTTGAATATGCACAAGGGGAGCTGATGCAGTTGTATTACTGTAAAGTGAGCTGTTAGAAGACGTTTACAGTTTTTTTTACAACCGGTGACATAATTTTGTCCAATCAGTAGTCGCATTTTCAAAACTGAAGTGACAATAACTGAATTAGCCCAACATTGGTCTGTACCATACCATTAACACATGTTGTTTCCACAAATTATGGAGTCATTTAACCCATTTCTGAAATGAAATGCTAAGTTTGGTAACACTTTCTATGAAGGTCATCGCTATAATGACTTATGCATATAGAACACGATATAATGCGTCCATAAGACATTATAACAGTTGTTATAATCACTTACAAACATGCATTAGGCGCTATAGCAAAGTTCATAATGTATTATGACCTTTTGATTTTATGTTTTATAACTAATAGTAATACCAGTTTATGTCAATGTGCGGCAAGAATCTCCAACCATGTTCCATAACACATTATAACCACCGACTCTGCCTCGTTATGAATACACTTAATCACCATTTACAATTAGTGATATAAAATGGAATAATAGCTTATAGTAATTAGTAATTATAGTAGTAATTCTGGATAATTACTAAGCATTTCCTAATAATGTTTTACTTCTGTAATTGTGTCACTTCAAATAATACACTTTTTTCCTACACTACATTCTGTAAAGTAAAGATGACTCATGCACTTTTACATAGTTTGCTGCCAAAAATGCACAAAATGTCGGGTGGTTTACAGCAAAAGGAAACTGAATTACAAAAAACAAGGGATTTCACTGTTTACTGTATGCAGTTAGAGCTGAAACGTGAAAAGTAATGCAGTTTTTGTAATGCCATCAAATGTTTGTATTTAGAAAGTTGTTGTGCTGTGATTGATAGATCTGAGCCCTGTTTCAGAAAGCAGGTTTAACAAACTCTGAGTGTAAACCTGAACTCTGGGTTGACAAACTCTGAGCAGTCAAACTCTGAGTTTTCGGTTTCAGAAAGGCCGATCAGATTAAGTTCAGTCAACTCAACTGAGTATATTGAGCCAGATGGAAGCGCGTGCATGAGAATGAAAAAAAGCCATCATCAATGGGGCTTCGACACTACGATTCACCATGGCAACGGGTTAATAAAGGCAGAGCCTCCATTTTAATCGGGTGGAGCTAGAAATATGAATGCGTGTCAACGCGGTCCATGATTGGCTCTAAAACGCAGGAGTGGAGGATCGATACGTTTACTTGTAATATTACATTTTACACAGTGTTGCTAATTCATCATTTACCAGACTGGAATTTCCTTAATGAATGATAAAGTGCTGGGATGGGACTAAATGCCGGTGGCAATAACTGAAGATGAAAATATTAATTAAACAGATTAGACATAGTTTAGGCTACTCATGGACCTGTGATTGTAAAGTGACAGTCCGACTCAATAGGCCTATTAATGATTTTTTTGTAATGTAAAATGTGTCTAGGTTCAAACTGACTGTGAAGTTTTAGACGTCTATGTTACATTAATAAAATCTTGCTCATTTCAGGCACTGGAACCAAAAACACCAAAGCTGCCGTTACTAGTTGTTACTGCCAGGCAATCTTGTTAACTATGCTCTCCAAATCATATTTAGCTATAATGATTCTGTTTACATTTGTTTGTGTGTGTGTGTGTGTGTGTGTGTGTTTGGGCAATCCAAAAATAGCTGTGCTTAGGTTTTTTAATGCACACATGCACTGATAACTGCTTCTTTGCTATTTTTACCAACAGCATGCTGTTTCCAAAGAGAACATGTTCTGTTAACAGTGGGGAGTGTGAATGTGCGTGTGTGTGTGAATGTGTGTGTGTGTGTGTGTATGTGCGCGTGCGTGTGTGGTTAGAGGATTTACAACCACTGTATTAATAGGCTGTCCTGTGTCTCCCTGATAGATGAGCTGTTCTGGCTAAAGAAGAGGAAGAAACCTGTTGGAGATGACACAAACAGTAGCAGACCCTGAACTCCTCATCACCACAACCATGAAACAGGAAAATCTGTGTTTCTTTTGTATTTGCATAACAGCATTGTATGCTCACCAGCAGGAACTCAATGAGAAGCAGTTTGCTGCTGTTTGAGATTATGTACAAAATAGACATCTGTAATTATTTGTCACTCCCAGAACATCCTGTGGCATGAGGAGACAGATCAGCATCTTACATAACCAAACAGATATGGTTTCAGCGTTTCACCTTTCTCTTATGTTTCTCTGTCAGTCTGACTGGGCATTGTGTTGGCCCACATGTGAAACATGTTATTTTTTGGTGATTGAGAGGAGTGGTGGAGTAATGGTGTTGAGGCACATGTGAGGTGAGGGTATTGAAGCATCAATAATTTGATTTACAAAAAAATGAAGAAATTATATTGTAATGTATGACAAGTTGAGGTGGGAAAAAATTGTGGTATTTTAAATTCATGTCCATGACAGATGAAAATGTAAGAAAGAGCTTGAGCTGCAGCAAATGATAGCTTTTGGAGGACATCTGAAATCTTCAGACAGACAACAGCACTGAAAAAAGACAGCCACCTCATTCATTTGAATAGGACCAACATGTCACTCCAGAAAAAACAACAACAAAAACGCAAGGTTGTCCCCCAAAACAGCTGAATCTGGTCAAATGCATTATATGGAGGAGACATGCCACTTTAAAAGAATCCTCAATACAACTATATAGGGAAAGCCTGTAACGCCAAAGATGCCGATTATCCCGCCCCTCCCGCTAGAAAACTAATTGTGTTCTTTTAATAGCCGAAGCGGGAAACATATTACAGGCAATTCTTGTGGTTCGACTGATGTAAGGGGTCTAACGCATGCGCAGTAGTAGTATAACGGGTCAGGATAATGCTTTTTAAATCTTATATTGAAAGTCGGCAAACATTTTCAGCAATTTTTATCAGATTTTATTGCTGTTTCTAGTCATGTCCTGGTGACCAGTAAAAGTGCAGTTTACTCTCTCCCCATTCATTCAGACAGGAGCCTGGTCTTTTTAGGTGTTGCCAAGATTGCTGCCGAATGGCATGACTTGCCTATAAGGACTTTGACCCGGCTCATCATAATGTGACATCATCCAGCAAGATGCAGCAATCCTATAATTGCAAAAGAACATTCCCATACTTTACATTTGAAAATGTCAAATATCTACTGTTTACCTTGCATTCGTCTAGACAAAAGATAGACGAGATAAGATTGTTGCCGTGATAACTTTCCAAAGTTGAAAAATTCTTTTTCATGGTATTATAAATCAAAATCTTTGATCTGCTCTAGTGCAGCCCTTGCAAAACAGTGCTTTCTTTGGTCTGAACGCCCAGTACAGCTGGCGATGTTGTGTATTTTTCTTATTGTTAACAAATCCCATGAAAAGTCCAAAAACAGCAATGAATGGATCTTACTAACAAGTAGTACCTTTGTATCCAAAGCCTGATATAACTTCCTTTGTACTATAAATCTGTCAACAAGCCTAAGAGTCTACAGTCATGCCAACAGCTCTGTGAGGCTGTACTTAGGCACAGCAGTGCTTTGAGCTAAATGCTAAAGTCAGCATGTGAACAAGCACCCAATGACTAACCTGAGGATGTTTATCAGGATTTACACAAATCATCTTGACGGTGATATGCATGTCTGCACCAAATTTCATGAAAATACATTTGACAGTTGTGGAGAAATTTGACAAAAAAAGTCAACCTGATGATGATACTAGAGGACAGGTCAGAGGTTCACCACAGTCTTTAGGATTCATATTGGATGTCCTAAATATAATGACAATCCATCAAATAGTATTGAGACATTCCAGGTGGCACGGCGGTCCAGTGGATAGCACCGTGGCCTCACAGCCAGAATGTTGTGGGTTCAGACCCCGGTTGCCCTGGCCTTTCAGTGTGGAGTTTGTATGTTTTCTCCGGTTTCTGAGTAACATTTGCTAACAACTACAGTAACATTTGCTAACAACTACAGTGCCCAGATGTTTGATGGAGCACTTCTTTAAAATTTAAATTTAAAAGTTTTTAAAGATACATAGCTTCAGTAGGAACTTATGGGCTTGAGGCCGCATGCCACTGACAGGGTAAAAGAGTCATAAAGGATTGAAAGATGCACTAAGACACTGTTTGTTTTGGTCTTTTCAGGGGATTTTTTTTTTTTACTTGAACAAGGAAAAGAAACAGCAGCCTTATCATATGTGCAAAACTTATGAAAACATCAGAACACTGCTTTGAACCTTTTAAAATAAATTGTAAAAACATTCATCAAAATGTAATATATATGGTTGAGAAAAAAATCTATTCCCCCGTATTGTTGCTTATCTATTTCTTTTCATCTGTTGACAGATATTTTAATGCCTTGGCATGTCAATACTGCTTTTACAGTAATGCTACTGTGCAATGCTATTCATGTCTACAACTTCCCAAAAAAAACACTTGAAAGCCAAAATCGTTTTTTTGTGCGTATTTTGTGAGGCTCCACCGAGGCCTCTATTGTCATCCCAGGCCAGTTGATCATGTTCTGGCTTCAATTCTGATACAAGAAAGGATACAAAAAGAGTGAGGAGGGTTGCAAGTAGAAACCAAGCTATTACATCTCCATTGATTTAACTCCCACAGCAGCTGGAGACACGCTGCAAACATTGCCTGGCTTATGCATATTTAATCAATCTATCCTCTGAAGAAATCTTGTTCTTGGATTTGTCATGGCTTTGTATGCAGGAGCTTGAAAAATGGGAGACATTTCCATAGATCTCACTATGGAAACTGAAGATGTTCAATAGGCTTTTCTAGGCGTCATGTACGCTACATATAGACACATGAGAAATCAACACTGGCTATAGTAATAGACAGTGGAATAGAGCCAGATTTCTTACCCTGTGACTGAGCCTCCGATGTCATAGATAGCAATTTTCTGGCCACAGAACTCATGGGCTTGAGGCTTTTTGCCTGCCAGCCAAAGAGCATGACACGGTTTGTTTTCTTTCTCTCCTCTTTGATGGAGCAGTACTTTACTTTGAATATGAGTAAAGGAGGTGATAATAATAATGGTGAATTATAGTAAAGGGCCCCATTCTTTGTGTTTGAGTAAGTGAGCTAGAGTAAGTTTTGCTGGACGTTTCACTTGCATTGTCACATGTAAAAGAAAATTGTACTTACTGCAACATTATTATTCAAGGCCTGGTGATACAATCCAATCATAGCCTCTGCTCCTGCTGCAGAATAATTCAGTTTCATTCATGGCAAACCCTGCTCTGATAAGCACAACTTACTTGCATTTAAATGTATCAATTCAACTTAAATCTCTCACTGTCTGCTTAATCATATGTAATAATTAAACGGCCACTCCAGGGATTTGCCACAAGATCAGTTTACTTGTTGTGTCTGTGAAAACATTCTGACGGAGGGAGTACAAAATGTGAATAAAACTAAACCTCATATTATCAGGGTTTTCTCACCTTTGGCTTGAAGACTTCTTGATAATAGGGGCATGTTCTTTATGCAGCTCTAATAAGTCCCCTAACTTTATGGAAGTACAATACCAAATTGCTGGAATAATCATATATGATTGAGTTCTCGAATTCAATGTAGCATATTGTTGAATATGAAGTAGTACCTTAATAACAGACCAAAATTAGCAGCAGTCTTCTGTAATTAGTGACTTACAGTACTGAGTTAATTATAATATTTTAGCCAAAGTGTTTAAACACCAATTCACTGTTACCAAATCATCAAATATGCGAGACTGCAGCGGAAAGCCCAAAATGTCCCTGGGACTCTCTCCTTGTTTCCCATCTATCTTTTCCGTATCAACAAAAAAAAAACAAAGATCCAAAAATAGAATCTTATAAAAAAGAGAGATGTCAGGCAACAATCTTCAACATTCTAAAAGAATTCAACAGCTACATGTTTTTGTGAAAACCACAGGGACTGAGATTAAATACCTTTTTACCACTAGATGTTTATCAGATTCTTCACCAGAAACTCGTTTGCTTCTGCCAGTTAGCATTCTCTATGATTGTCAAAGCTTGTTGGTTGGAAATGACTGTCTTCACTTTAACTGTATATTGACACAGAACTCAAAGCCAATTTCAGAGGCGGTGTGATTGCAAACAAAGTCAACAGAAAGTTGCAATTGGATGCAAATTCCTCTGAGGCAGCATGAACTGAGAGGCACATACATGCAAGTTGAAAATGTTTGTAATTAACTAAAACATTCAGAGACAACTAGGGGCTTAATGAACATGCTGCTTCATAAACCTAGAGGAAAAAGGGAGCGAGGCTGGAGTTAAGTAACAGAAAGATTTGAACATAAACTCCCACAGTGTGCCAGTGTGTCTGTTGCTTGCTAGCTTCAAGTTAACAACAGTAACCCAAAACAATGAGCTAAAAGTTGCAAAGACCTGCAGAGTCAGTTGTCGCTTCTCAGTGAGCTTGGCGCCTTAAGCACATTGCTATTACAATTTTCACGATTACTTCTAAATGTGAGGTAACCTGTAGTTAAATTCCATCCATCCATCGCCAACTGCTTATCCTATGTACAGGGTCGCGGGGGGCTGGAGCCAATCCCAGCTCCTGTAGTTAAATTAAAAATTAAAATTAAAAGGCGCACCGCACCTTCTGTCAATCCAATCCCATTCAAGCCTAAAATATTTACTTCAAAATACAGATGAAGATGAAGGAAAATCAGTTATTTCAGCCAGGTTACTAATAAATGTCACACAAAGCACAGTCTGGTTATTTCAACATGGATGTATGGTTTTCATTACCAAATTAAACTTGGGATATGTGAATTACAGGGTCAACAACACACATTTCCATGCGTGTTAATTTACCTACTCAGAACATTCATCGGTAACACTTTCTATGAAGGTCATCGCTATAATGATATAATGATACAATATATTTATAACACGATATAATGCGTCCATAAGCCTTTTTTAACAGTTGTTATAATCACTTACAAACATGCATTAGGCGCTATAGCAAAGTTCATAATGTATTATGACCTTTTGATTTAATGTTTTATAACTAATAGTAATACCAGTTTATGTCAATGTGTGGAAAGAATCTCCGACCATGTTCCATAACACATTATAACCACCGACTCTGCCTCATTATGAATACACTTTAGTCACCATTTATATACCTTATAACACATAATTGTTTGCTTTAAGTAAAGTGATACACATTTCGCGCAGGAAAACAACTTTTATTTATGTTTCTTCACTTTATGAACAATCTGTATAAATTTTGCAGTTTAGCACAAAAACACAACATAATTACATCAAGGACACCCATTCTCAGGGTGGTGTGAGATCGCTCAAGAGAAGACCTGTTGCCGACCAACATTATGTAAGAAGAGGCTCAGATGTTGTCACAGATGAATGGCGAGCCTATGGACAGGCCCTAACAGATGCAGTGGACAATTAAAGACAACCACTTCACAAAACGTAGCCTATTAAAAGGCATTTTAAAGTAATTGAATGGGAATACTGTTTGGGCAGTAGGAATGAGAATCTCTTGCCACCTCACGATTTGATTTGATTACAATACAGAGGGCAGCGATCCATCTTGAGGCATTTTCTTTTCTGTGTAAATTCTGGATAATTACTAAGCATTTCGTTTACACAGGTCTTCTCTTGAGCGATCTTTCACCACCCTGACAACGAGTTTTCTGGATGTAATTATGTTGTGTTTTTGTGCTAAACTGCAAAATGTTCAAAATTCATACAGATTGTTCGTGAAGTGAAGAAACATAAATAAAAATTGTTTTCCTGCGCAAAATGTGTGTCACTTTACTTAAAGCAAACAATTACGTGTTATAAGGTCGTATAATTAGTTCATATGGTATTATGTCCACCTGTAATATATTATACAGGGATAGATATTTTAACACTTTACTTAAAGCAAACAAAGACATGCTATATAACTTTAAACACTACTACAAGCTATTATTCCATTTTATATCACTAATTTTAAATGGTGACTAAAGTGTATTCATAATGAGGCAGAGTCGGTGGTTATAATGTGGAACATGGTCGGAGATTCTTTCCACACATTGACATAAACTGGTATAACTATTAGTTATAAAACATTAAATCAAAAAGTCATAATACATTATGAACTTTGCTATAGCGCCTAATGCATGTTTGTAAGTGATTATAACAACTGTTAAAAAAAGCTTATGGACGCATTATATCGTGTTATAAATATATAAATAAGTCATTATAGCGATGACCTTCATAGAAAGTGTTACCCATTCATCTTATTAGCAGTTATACTTAACAGACCAGAACAAAGAACAGATTCTTTAGTACACTGCGTAAGTTTCCACATGCTTAACAAGGGATCACACATACAGTCCAGTCATGAGGGGTTTGTTTACCCTTGGCTAATGTTGTATTTATCTTTAATTGCATTGTCCATGTGGTTGACAGAACACCAGGAGCTACAGTGCAAAACTGATTCTGTTATTGAAAATGATGTAAATTATGTGAACTCTTATTAAAAAATAACATTTTCACCTCTCTGACTCAGTGTCTCTTTGTCCTTGGTAGAATAGATGTTAATCTCCTTAATTAATTGGGTTAATCAGAATTCTTCCACAGAAAACTTCCAATGAAGCAGTCTTCATTATCATATTAGTAAAGAATAGCACAATCACATGTCCTGGAGTCCTGAAAACACAGAGAGAGAGAGAGAGAGAGAGAGAGAGTATTAAATACAATGATATGGAGACGAGAAATGAGGATGTAATGCAACAAATGACAAAGTAATTATTGTACAAAATAAGTAGTTTTTTCTTTCCTTCACAAGAAACCATTTTGTGTATTTTATTCTTCTGCCATATAAAAGTGTAACTGTGAAACCATTATTAAGTTCTTTGTGTAAAGTGCTTTCATATCATTGTTACTTTACATTATACCTCACATCTATAAACTTGAC